AGAGGAAGTTATTGAATGTAGGAATGACTAAGGGTCTTCAGATGTTCCTCTACATAGAGATGGCAATTTTAGAAATTACATTTTGTTTCTTAGATATTTTATAATTTCGCCCGTATTTTCCTTTGTGACGGAAAATTTTCAAAATGTGTGAATGGAGCTTTCTGAGATTCGCTGTTGTAATATTTGGTATATTTCAAGAACCAAATGCGAATAACCATATCATCCGTAATTCACCGTCTTTCCCCCTCATTGAAATGTTTATTTACAATTAATTTCTCTATCAATTGTCGCTGAGACATTTATTTATGAAAATCCATTATTTAAGATTATTTTGGTTTAGTTTTTACATTATAAATATTCCCACCAAGCTATTCAAATAACATTGGCAATGTTTGACACTTGTTGATTTGTGCTTTAAGGCTTCTTCATCCTAACAAGGCTTCTCCTCGTACACAAAAACCTAGGATATATAGATGGGACATTTGGAAACAATGGGATTCTCATAAAAACACCATAGTGGTTCATATGACTAAGTTACTTTCAAGCAAAATATATATTTCCTCAATTCCTTTCTTACCAATATTCAATTTTATTAGATATATTCAGAATGATATCAAACCTATTGAGAGTCTTATGTTTTCCTGATTACACCTCATTTTTACATGGGTGCACAAATATAATGTAAATAATTCTCTCTCTTTTATTATGTGTATTTTATATGTTTCTGATTATGACATCTTTATTATGATTTATTCAGACCAGGATCTTTGTATCAAATAACACCATCAGACTAGAAAGCCAATGTCAGATAATACCATCAGACCAGAATTCTAATGTCGAATAGCACCATCCTAATATAATCTTTTATAGTTTGTTTATTTGTCATATAAAAATTTGCGCTTTAAAAAAATGGTTTTACTTCATATATAGATGTCGTGTTATTGTCTTATGTTTAATTTATACCTAACTGGCTTTGTATAAATTACTTTCGGAAGAGAAATTGCTCGATGCAAATATTCGCATGCAATTCTTCTTTCTTCTATAAATGCTAATGTTCATAGTTTATTTAAATAACATAACCAAGATTCAGCCTTACACAGTCTCAGATATACCAGAAGAATTTCCCAATAAAATATTAGAGCTTTAAAAAAAGTTATGATGGATTAAAATGGAAACATCTCTGGGAGGGTTCACCACTAATTAGAAAAGGTCTTCCAAATTTTTTTCATCGGAGTAAGGACAATATAAATTTGTTTTTATTTGAAAATTCCAAATTTGTTATTTGATGGTTATATACAGCATGGTATATGCAGCAACGTACAAAAGATGAACACACAAGCTTATTTCTGGAGAGTTGGGCATCTATAGAAGCATTTTATTTCTAAAGATATAATGATTCAGTTTAAATGGGTTGGCCACACACCAACCTATTTTATGTAAACAATACTTCTGGTGTATCATGCGGATGATTAGCTTATAAGGAGTTTGAATCTTAGAAGATAGGCGAACAGCGTCTTGTTGAAATATCGAATTTTATTTGAAAAAATACGACTAATCCAAAAAATATATACGTCGTTTGTTTTAATATATCTATAAAGAAGAGATGGTGCTTTATTGCGTTATGTTTGGAATAAAAAGAAATGCGTTAGATAATAGTTCAGACTTGAAATATACGGTCAAATTATTATTAACAAGACAATTTAAGGCCTACAACAGAATATAATTTTACAAAAGGGTTGTTAAAAATCAGAAAGAATATTGAAAGTCAGAATAGAGAACCAAATTAATACAATCTTAAGTTTTTTTTAATAGTTCCAATCTAATATACCAGGAGAATGAATTCAAATAAAAGAGGTAACTGTGCCCAATATCTTTCTATATTTATAAATCCTGGTAGTTGGCGACTTCTGTACGATCTCCATGAACCTGTGGGGGTTAACCAAATATATAATAATATATTCATAGAATCTAGTTGGAATTCGATTTCTTGGTCTGAAAGAATCATAGTTCTATGCACAATACCATCAAGAGTCCATAAAACAAGTTTACAATTAGTAATGTTTTTTTTTTTTTACATTTAAAAGACTCGCTTTCGGGCAATAAGCATTTCAACGAGCCTATTTATCTATTATAAGACCAAAAAGCTCAGCAAATTGAGCATGTACGAAATACTATGAATAAGACACATCAAATGAAAATGTATAACCAGATATCAGAAATCGGCCATGATTCTAACCTGGAATTACAGTAACATCCTCAATAATACCAAAGGTTACTTCTTGAAGCATTTCTATCACACAAGAATAGTATCGATGGGAAATAGAGATTGATAATTTCATTTTAAGCACATTTGAATACCTAAGTGTTTTGTAACGTAGTTTGTAGTTTTTCAGTTTTAAAACGATTTTCACAATTTTATCTTGAATCACGAAAAGAGAGAGATTAATATGATAAAACCCGTTGTAGAGCGATTATCGCTTGAAAGCGAATAAAAAGAAACCATTGTTAGAATTTTTGTAGTTATTAATAGCAATATGTAATATATTTTCAAAGATCACCAAAACTTACACCAAACTCACGCCGCACATGCTTACACGAGAAGTTAACTCTTTATATTACCATATTTGCCGAACCTTTTTGTCTTATGACAGAAAAAATTCTCCGTTGAAGAGATTTTATATCTATAATAGAATATTTTAATTGTAACTTTCGAGTTTATAGATTTTTATGCTATTACAATAAACATATATTGTATAAAGAGAGAAACTATCCATAGCACACCACCATTGCCTTGAACAGAATACTTTGCTAAGAGCAGAATGAATCATTCACCCAGCAAGAGAAAGTAAAGGTGGCCACGGCGTGAAAAATGGCCAGCCCTGCTGCCCTGTATAATTAGCGTGGCAAACGATGTTAAGGATTCATTAAGACATTGTTTTTTAATGGAACGCTGATCGTTATTAAGAAAATGAGGGGAGGAAAAACATGGATGTTGGTGCATGAACAATGCTCCCCTCGCTGGCATCGATCTGGCCCATCGACCGGCAACATGTCCAGCCGCAAGGACCCCATTTATCTCTTCCCCAATGATATTAATTGCTTGGATAATGTAGAAAATTTTTAATAATACTAAGTGGCCGCGGCGGAAGAGAAAAAAATTGATTAAAAAATTCCTTTCACAGAAAATGATGAAATATATTTGATGTAAATACTTACATTTATTAGGGTCCCTAGGAATTTGTCAACAAGATGAAAGCCCTTTCTCTTCTGAGAGCTTTATGTCGTCCACCCCCCGCTCGCTTGGCAATTTTGTTTATCGATGAAACCTTCTTTGTGAGGGCAATCTTCACAGAAACTTGACGTTTCAAACTGTTTTTTTGTGTTCTTTTATAAGTTGTTGTGGATTATTTTGCTTTTATCAAAATAGAAGCGCTTCGATGTTTAGTTTTGATATGATAGCAAAGAAAATCTCCCCGATTTTTCCCTAATAAACACTAATTTAAACATATTTTAAATACTTGTAAATATTATGAGTTTTAAACATATATATATATTTGAAAGTAATGCTTCTTTTCAAATAAATCACCAAAAACGACTTCAGTAAACTGTACTGCGATGCTATACATTGTGGACTTATAAATAATGCGATGCGCATATACTCATAAACAAAACTTATGTAGGTTGTCTGTTTTATTATTATTTTTTTGGAAACATTTCATCAGACCATTGATTTCGCTTGCCAAATGAAAGATTGACGACTTAGCAAATACTAAGAAGCATAAAATATTTAAAAATCCACAATTTACAATTTGAAAATAAACATACGAAACTTACATCTGTACCCTATTTCATTTTGTAAATAATCATCACTATTTGAATCTCTGTGGCAAGATGATATAACAATGTTGTCTATTGTGGACCATGTTTAACATACACCACCACGTTGAGAATTCTAAGATGACCAAAGCTGGCCATTGTTCGCCTCCCGTGAACTTCCCTCAATCCTAATCCTCTTCCTTAAAAGGATTTTATTGGGAATTCCTGCCCACCCAATCTATCAATCAAAGGATGATGACTCAGATGCAATCTGCGGACGACCTAGAGGCCCATCTTGCCGAACACCATCTTCCGGGGCTAAAGTGGTTAGGCAACTTCAACAGTGCCCTTCTTTGGCTGACCACCGTGGGGTAGCTTGTTCAAACTGACCAAAAAAAAATTGAGATGATCAAAGATAATTTATCGAATACATACAAACTGCAGTTATGTATAATTGGACAAAAACAAATTGTTTGAGAGTATTCAATATGAACTGTTTTCGAGAGAAAAAAAAAATCGAAAAATATTTTAGTTTAGTTTTCTGTATTATTGCTTTACGAATATAGGAGCTTGGCCAATTTCAATAAAAATGTTTTATATATATATATTTTTTTGAATACTTGGGAGATTTAAAAGTATCTAATGTAGCATAGTTTAATCAGGTCTCAACTATTTTCCTTTCCTTTATTATATATAATAATATTTGATTATATATTATTATGATAATAATATTTCTGTGGTGCCATCTCTCCGATTTATTTTTTTTCAAATTTACAAAAAATGAAAATGATTTTCAGATAGAAATAATGGGGCCAATGTTGTTTTTTCGAAAAAAAATTCTCTAGATTGAGTAATAAATAATTCAAATATACTCTGTATATAAATAGTATGGAAATCGTAGGCATCAAAATACAGTGGAACTGTACAGAGTATTTTGATAATACTCCTGAGAATTCAAATCTGTATCAACTTTTTTGTTCAACTATAACAACAAAGCGTTCTGTCGTGCTAAGGATACTGGCGCCTAATGAAAGAGAAAATAAAAGTTTCTATAAACAATACTTAAAATTATACCGCATAAGTTTCTTTTTTATAATTTTAAGTATTGTTTATAATCACACGCCGCAGTCCTTTATAATGTATTATAAGTTACTTTGAGTATTATTTACGAACGGAGAAATAACGTCCAGGATAGCCTAGTGGACATGGCACCTGCCCGGTAAGCAGAAGGTTGTGGGTTCGATTCCCGTCCCTGGACACTTTTATTTTTCCCGTTCGCCATTACTCTTCATATTTTCACCCTCTCATACTTCATTCAAAAAAGTTAGAAATAGTAAATATTTCTCTTTAAAATAAATATAGATTTTCATAAAAAAGAAACTTATGCGGTATAATTTTAAGTATTGTTTATAATCACACGCCGCAGTCCTTTATAATGTATTAAAAGTTTCTATATTGTAGCAAAGTATTTATTATATTTGATGTACATATTATTAATTTTGATATTTATATTATTTATATATTTATTACTCTGGAAACTTTCCCTCATTGCTTATCTTGTATCTTATAAATGTTGATTTTTGTTCTTACCTTAAATAAATTGCCGTGTCATTCTGAAGTTTGTCTTTCCTAATTTTCTACCTGACAATATTCTATATCTATATATCCTAATAATATGTTAATCAGTATCTCACATGTATTTATGTTAATTAATATTAAAAAAATGTTTCCTATGATGACTCCAAGAGCTAAAGGACACTTCCTTGTTAGCCACTCCTGTCTCCACCTGATTTCAAATTGTTCTCAAATATTAAAAAAGGTATTATATATTTATACAGAAATATATATATGTTATATTAAAATATTATTCTAATTAAAATTATATTTAATAGATCCAAATACTCTGTTAAATCGACCGCCAGAGGTCATGCTTCCCCGATGGCCGGCTACAATCTTTGTACATTATGTAAATAATCTTTTGTTTTCCTTATTCTTCTCGCCTTAAGCCAGGCATTACTTTTATCAAATTATGTTTTCTTATATATTCTATAAGCTCAATTAAAACTATTTTCAATATTTACTATTTTTATTATCATAATTTCAAGATTTTAACCACGACTGCACCATATTACCATAATCCTCAACATGATCAAAATTCAAGCAGAAAATCTCATCTCTTTTCTTTTATATAAGATATATATATATAAACAAATTTGTAAAAAAGCGGGTATATTATACAAATCAGTCTGTTGAAGAAGAAAATAGAGGAAATATGTAAGTGAGATATTATGCAAATCCCAAGGTCTGATAAAGAAGACCGTGTGAGCGGGGATGCCGATGTCCCCTTGTTGCCGGGCACATCTCTGGAATGCATCACACAAACAATTATCCCTGTCAGAGCGATCGCAATCTTTACATACCTCCTTAATTGCATCCCTGTGCTGCTGATTCATCGACAAAAACACTTGTCGCCCACCCGACACATCTCCCTACTGGACCTCACTCTGCAAATTACGCCACACAATTTGATGTTCTAGGGACAGAACAAATAGTTAGCATCGGCGGTATCTTAGTCAAGGCCGAGATACCTCACTCAAAAAAAAAAAAAAGAAAGCTAGAAAAAAATGTGAATCTAATACGAGATTACCAATTATTATATTTCCAAAGCGCTATATCCCGCAAGGGATACTTGCGCCAAACAAGGAGAAAAGTTTATTTACATAAGTTATTTACATTATATAACGCATGAAAACATTAGAGATCCAGATTTTGTAGAAAGTTTAGAATGTATTTACAAAATGAATTGAACTCTAAATATGATTTTTTATCGGAATGAAAACCATTTTTTTTTAACATTTAGTCACAAAATTAAAATATTATTTTGAATAATAAATGGTTTTAAGTTGAAAATATTTTTACCTACCATTTTATTTTATATATATATTGAATAGATTGTTCTATTGCTATATTGACTATTGATGGAATTTTCTTCTGGATCATGCTTATATCATTGCAGTGAATCAACAAAGAAAATCCAGTTGAATTGAATATGCTAGCCAAACTTTCCGCAAACCTGATACAGATATTTCTTTTTATTTTACATGTAGATATCAGCAATAATTTTACCTAAACAATTACTACAATGTTAGTTAAGTTTTTACCTATATGAATATAATAATATATTGGCTTAGAAATTTTCACCACCAACGAAAATCCTAATATTGACTATGTAAATATGTATATGTAAAATTTTTTACCTAGAACTTTTGTATTTGAATAATGATTTCTTTAGGCTTCAATATTTCAAATTAGTTTCTAGTTTTAGTAGTTCTCCAGCTTTATTTTGTACTATTTATTCTTTAAATATCATAATTTAATAAAATAATGACACTTATATTTTAAATTACAGAGATATAAATTCAGTTAGATCCATCTTGTCGTTAATGCATTGTCCTCCATTTAGGTCCTACGTTAGGGCAGTTCAAATCAAATGTTCCACATTGTTGTTTTTTCGGTGATATTTTGTCTTTCTATTTTTTTTTGGGAGATGAGTTCTATAGATTATTGTAGTATTGTTTACGATGTGTCTTCTAAACAAGTTAATCTTTTTAATATAGTCAACAATTCTTAGTTTCTAAAACGCTTCTGCAATGATATTTAAAAATAAAAGACACACAGATAAATCCTGATTCATTCAGTTAGTGAGTATGCTGATAGTTTCTTGAGTTAATTACTATGGCTATTTATTTTTTGACAGAAACAAAAACATTTCCATTAACAAAAAAGAAAGATTTGCTCTTAATATTATGTATTTCTATAGATGGCTCGCGCTTTCAACTTATAATTCACAACACAATGTAATATCGCAATAATATATGAAGCTTTATATTCATGAATATTTATGAAAATGAACCTTGAAGTGAAATAAAATATTTGATAACTTTCTCAAATAGAGTCTCTTTTTATCAAAATTCGTTACAATATCATTTTATCTTTAATCTTCACCAATTCCACACTTGACATTTCAAAAATTTCGATAACATTTATACTATGTTCCAAAAGTATTAAAAACATTTAGATAATTGAGAAAAAAGAAAGGGGCATCTTATCGTGCAATTTTTTTTTCTCAATTTATGCACCTTATCCCAGTGCAATATCACATTTGTACTATTTTTCCACATTTAGATAATGTTATAGTAAAACACTATATATTGCCCAACAGAGAATACTTCATTCGTTTTTTTTTTTAGGAAAACCATACCTGAATCTTTAGTGAGGGGGATACAATATGCCATATTCAAAAATAAAAATAGAAATTGAAATAACTCATTACATCTCTGGGTGCCAGTATATTAGTGAAGAAAGAGAAACGTTCTTCTCAAAAGTAAACGACAGCCAACTTACCTCAGTACAAAGTATTTTAACCAGCGTCATATCAAGTCGAATAGTTGCTCTGTCTCTATATATCTTCTACAAAGCAGTGAACAGGAAAAATAACTTAGAGATTCATCGTTTTCTTCTCAACTATATAATGGTGATTGAGCATCGTGAGGATATCGTTGCAAGCCAGCAATGAGAGAGGAGAATCTGACTGGTGTCTTAATAAAGACTTTGTATGTGTGATAATGTTCTATAAAGTCCACATTAAATAATATTTCTTTCTTTCATTTGCATATTAATGTAAAAACCAAAATAAAAATTCACATTCCGGTTATGATTCCATTGTAGGATCTTTGTTTAGATTTCTAAAAAACAAGTCGAGTTTCTGATCATTTGACGTTGCTTGGTTACTTTTGTAACTTAGTGTGATATAATACAACGCATAAAAATTGATGTTTTTCATCCCTAACAACATTTATATCAATTGTTTTTATCAAAAAATTACGAATTACTATTGATTAATGTTTGATAAACGGAATTTTCGAACGCTTGAGGTATAAATTGATGAGATTAAAATGGCATTATAATATGTGAATGTGCGTGCGGATGAAACCAATAAGATATAAGAAACAAGAGGAGAGAGAGGTTGGCTGAGAACATCAATGGTAGAGTGGGTGGTGTACGGAGAGGGTTTGTACCAACAGGTCTTGAGGGGAACAAATGGTTCGGTGGTATCAGCGCCGACGGATGATATATCATGAGGGAACGGCTCAATCGAGGGCCCCATTAGTCATCGCTCCATGGAAAAGGGGCAGATGATGCGGACAGATGCTGAGGGATCGTGTACCTGGGTGATGATTTCATTTCACTTGCACACACCAAGGTGATTTCATTACATCGCCGCGGACAAGTTGGTCGGCGCTGGTTAGATTGATGGTTGTTGTCGTGTTGGTTAGATCTGGATTGATGGGTCATCCTTCACTGTTCTTGTCAGTACGTGTCCATGTTATGCTCATCGCTGTGTTCTCTACTTGTTCGGTTATATCTGGATTGATGGGTCATCCTTCACTGTTCTTGTTAGCACTTATCATGTTATGCTTATCGCTGTGTTCTCTACTTGTTCGGTTATATCTGGATTGATGGGTCATCCTTCACTGTTCTTGTCAGTACTTATCCATGTTATGCTTATCGCTGTGTTCTCTACTTGTTTGGTTATATCTGGATTGATGGGCCATCCTTCACTGTTCTTGTCAGTACTTATCCATGTTATGCTTATCGCTGTGTTCTCTACTTGTTCGGTTATATCTGGATTGATGGGCCATCCTTCACTGTTCTTGTCAGCACTTATCCATGTTATGCTTATCGCTGTGTTCTCTACTTGTTCGGTTATATCTGGATTGATGGGTCATCCTTCACTGTTCTTGTCAGTACGTGTCCATGTTATGCTTATCGCTGTGTTCTATACTTGTTTGGTTAGATCTGGATTGATGGGTCATCCTTCACTGTTCTTGTTAGCACTTATCATGTTATGCTTATCGCTGTGTTCTCTACTTGTTCGGTTATATCTGGATTGATGGGTCATCCTTCACTGTTATTGTCAGTACCTATCCATGTTATGCTTATCGCTGTGTTCTCTACTTGCTTGGTTATATCTGGATTGATGGGTCATCCTTCACTGTTATTGTCAGCACTTATCCATGTTATGCTTATCGCTGTGTTCTCTACTTGTTCGGTTATATCTGGATTGATGGGTCATCCTTCACTGTTATTGTCAGTACCTATCCATGTTATGCTTATCGCTGTGTTCTCTACTTGTTCGGTTATATCTGGATTGATGGGTCATCTTTCACTGTTCTTCTCAGTACGTGTCCATGTTATG